CCCTAAAACCTTATATTGTATTCCTTGTTTCACAAATATTATACACCCTCCCCCAATATCTTCCTCTCTATCCCTGCGTATACTTTCATAACCTTTAATACTAAAATCTTAAAACTGGTTTAAGCCAGGTTTCCTGAATGCATATGATTTCTGGTTTCTTTTTAAACCCTTTTATAAAACCTTTAAACTCTTGACCATTTGCTAACAAGCTTCTTGCATTCCATTGTACAATAACCTTTTTACGTACAACCCTATTATCTTCATCTGAGCTGTTTCCTTCTAATCCCCTTTTACTGGTTTGGCTATCTACCCAACTCCCTTCATTTCGCCCACTCTTTCTTTTTTCTTGTCCTTTCCTACTACTTATTAAATTCCAGTCATCTTCATCGATTACCCCAGAACTCATCTTAATCCAGTCACACGTGCCTGTAAGAGGGGAGGGAACTGCAGCTCGTGTTTTGAACTACTCTACTTCTCTGTTTCTTATATAACTTGCTTTAAAAACAAAAAACAAACGAGAGCTTCGTATCCTTTGTAAGAACTGTTAAGTATATTCTGCAAAGTTAAAGAATTTATGCCAACAGAAATTAAATCGTCCTTTAAATGTAATTCTTTCCCTTTCATATGCCACACAATTGAGTATTAGTTACATGCTCTAGTTTCTGCAAGTCCTCATTTATTTATATTCTAACTAAACCAACTTGTTTTTGTATATTATACAGCTGACGACCTTTATTTCTTTTGTCCCACCTCTCCTTGTTAGAACAAATATCCTTTAGAGGATATAACAATAATAACAACGTAAAAAAAATCTATTATAATACAATAAATGAAAATAATTAGAATTAAAAAATGCACAAAATAAGAATAAATAAAACTAAAACTATATATATTAAAAACTATACTAAAATAGATACTATACTAGAAAATAAAACTATACTAGATATAGTATAAATATAGTAAAAACAGTAATAAATCAAATATAATAAAATGAATGAAAACACACAAACACAAATACAATAAAAAAAAATAGTAATATAAATAAAATGCAATGTAATAAATAAAAAAATACATATAAATATAAATAACAATTAAAAATAATAAAGATGAAAAATAAACAAACGAAAACAATCAATGGAAAAATAAATACAAAAACAAAAAAAAACAAAAAACTTTAAGTAAAAATAGAAAAAAAGTAAAGTAAACAAAAGAAAAAAAAAGAGAAATAAAACTAAAAAAAAAATATCTCTTCAAGTGCCTATTTAGTATGGAGGACGAAACCTGCAAAAACAATACATAAATAAATAAATAAATGTCTGTATAAATACACAAATTCTTGTTTAAATACATATAGAAATAATTAAACATGTGATTAAAGTAGGCAAATAAATAAAATAAATTGGTGGACACATAAGGTTTAAATGTTTTATTTTCCTTTGATCACTCATTTATTTCTGAATGTAGTTCCGCATGTATTTTTCCTCTGCGCAGCATGCTAATGAGAGGGTGTTAATTATGGACTTGCTCGGGTCATGTGATAGCTTTCCCCGCTGACAGGAGATGCATGCTGTTAGTCCAGAATAGCCTATGTAAAGTCACTTTTTCCGTTCAACAGAGCAAGATACATACACCACTGAGCTGTATTGTCCGTACAGTATCTGCGACTTTACAAACGACCCAAAGAAATGGCCGGAGGTGTCGTTTCCTGACGTCAGTTTTTGTAACCCGATTGAGTCTCCAGCTAGAGACGACTGTAATATCAGCATCCCACGGTCATCGTGAGACGCCTGCTATGAAGAGGTTTAATCGAGGAACAGACGGTTTTTCCCATTCGTTATCAGAACAGAAAATACAGGCGACAAAAGTATGTTCATTAAGCAAATAACGGGTCAGTATTGCAATTAAGAGCTATGTAAGCATTACTATTTTACATTAGCCACTCTTTTATGATTAAAAGATGATAGCGCTCAAACACGATCCGCCTACACTCTTGCATAATTAACACCCTCTCATTAGCATGCTGCTAATAAATGAGTGATCAAAGGAAATTAGTTGAGCATTTCCTTAAACATTTTCCATTTGCCCACCAATTTATATCATTTATTTGCCTGCTTTCATCACATGCACAATTATTTATTTATGCATTTAAACAAGAATACGTGTATTTATGCACACATTTATTTATTTGTTTTTGCTTGGTCTCGTCCTCCATAATTTAGCTCATCTGTTAGCTAAATATGTTCAAACATGATCGGTTCGTTTATTACTCTCCACGGGTGTCAGAAACACACAGATGCAGCGGTCTGATTTCAGAACGGGTTTTATTGCAGGGTGTGACATCAAAGTGAACAATGTAACAGTTACAAGGCTTTTCCATTCTGAAAAATGAGTTCAGATTCCATGAGCCGAAGAAAAGATTCTGATTGGCTGAGCCACCTTTGTTTACGTTTGTGTGTTGCTCGGCAACCACTTTGTAGCAACCACAACTGTTTCTGAGGTGCTACATTGTTTGGTGGAACAATACTGTGTTTATTAATATCTTTACACTTTATTTGCTTTCTGTGAAACCGTGCTACTAGCTAACAACGCCCCTTAGCTGTTATAAATCCACTAAAAACCACGGCTTCACGTGGATTATTGCTTTAACGAAACATTACAGATGTCTCAGCTCATGCAAGTTCTGTGTTCTGAAATAAACGGCAAGCATATCGAAACGCAAACCTCTAAACTAAACTAGTTCTGCTGCTGGCGGCGAGAGAAACTCGCTGTGCGTGGCGTTTATGGCTTCAGTTGTCGTTCTTAAATTAACACGCACAGGAAAAAACACACACACGATCAGACACCAAGTCTACAGAAATGACGAAAGCATTAACATTTACAGTCTCGTTCATCCTCAAAAATACCTCCATCATTTTGTACATTCAGAATCATTATTGGAGACAGAATGCATCTGGTGTAGAGCTCATACAAATCTTATAAAGTCTTGTTTCTTCCCATATAATAATAATAATAGTGGACGTTAAGCATGATGGTTCTCAGCACAACACGGTAGTCAGTAAGCGTATGAGTCTACTGTTAAAGATCTCAGAAACATGACTGAGCGAGTTAGTTCCTTCTGGGTCAAAGGCACACTGACGTCTGCAATAAAACACTCGAAAGTCTCAAACAAAAGATGCTTATAAACCCAAGCACCAAAGCGAGAAACAGCAGCTCGTGTGCAGCATTTAGAAACGTTATTAACCCTCATAATGCATTCAGAATCTGATACGGTTTTCATATTCTGGGCACGTTTGGACCTGAAGAATCATTACTTTATAAAACAGTCATAACTTCTTATTAATGAGTAACTGTGAAAAAAAATAAAATCAAAGATGTTACCACGTCAGTGCTGCATTTAACCCTTTATTATTAATTAAAACATTTAGAAAGTCTTTGATTTTTTTTTTAATTACACGTGAACCAGATCAAACTAAAAATGAGATGCAAAATTTGTATATATTTTATTCAATACTGATGAGGAATTTTATTTGAATATGTCATTGTGTGAAATTTATAAGAACATATAATCTGAGAATTATCAGTATGAAAGTCTCTTCTGCTCACCGAGCCTGCATTTATTTGATTAGAAATGCAGCAAAAGTAGTAAAATTGTGAAATATTTTTACTATTTAAAATAACTGCTTTCTATGTGAATATATTTTAAGCTGTAATTTATTCCTGTGATTTCAAAGCTGGATTTTCAGCATCATTGCTCTTTTTTTTTTTTATAAATGTTTTTTGGGGGACAGAAATTCTAGAAATTAATACTTTTATTCAGCACGGATGCTTTAAATTGATTAAAAGTGATGATAAAAGACATTTATAATGTTACAAAGAGTTTATCTGAATTAGACATCTTATCTATTCATCAAAGAAACCTGGAAAAATTCTACTCAGCTGTTTTCAACATAATAATAATAATAATAAATGTTTTTTGAGCAGCATATTATACTGATTTCTGAAGATCATGTGACACTGAAGACTGGAGGAATGATGCTGAAATTCAGCTTTGAAATCACAGGAATAAATTATATTTTAACAGATATTCACATAGAAAAGAGTTATTTTAAATAGTAAAAATATTTCACAATTTTACTGATTTTGCTGTATTTCTGATCAAATAAATGAAGAGACCTCTTTAAAAACATAAAAAATCTTACTTCTTCAAAAACACGAAACAGGCTATATCTCTTAAAAAATAACTGTAAAAAATCTGAAAAAAATAAATGATGTGTATTTTGAGTGTCTTAAAGCATCTGCGAAAATAAATTATATTTTAACAGATATTCACATAGAAAAGAGTTATTTTAAATAGTAAAAATATTTCACAATTTTACTGATTTTGCTGTATTTCTGATCAAATAAATGCAGGCTCGGTGAGCAGAAGAGACCTCTTTAAAAACATAAAAAATCTTACCTCTTCAAAAACACGAAACAGGCTATATCTCTTAAAAAATAACTGTAAAAAATCTGAAAAAAATAAATGATGTGTATTTTGAGTGTCTTAAAGCATCTGCGAAGTTTCGTTCACGTACAAGAAACCCTGCATTGTTTAGAAACGTTTATGTATGTCTTCCAGGTCAAAACAGGCCTGAATGCGTGAAGAGGGTTAAAACATGGCAATATGACAAAAGATACAAAACTGAACTGCACTTTTAGTAAATCCAACTGTGTTGATTTTAACAAAAAAAGTCACTGAGTCTGTGTGTTTTAAAGGTGTTCCACCGTCCGAAAACCACATCTAGAATTGTAGGATTTAAAAAATAAACACATTTAATGTCTCTTATAAAGTTGTACCTTCATGTTGCACATTTTACAATAAATAATCCAAAGTATCAGAGCACAGTTTCACTGATCTGACTCATAAAGTGAATCAAGTGACATTTCACCATTAATAGAAATAATTCAAAGAGCGTTCAGTCGGAGAGAAACCTGAACACGCTTCTGTAAAGGGATTGTAC